GTAACAACGACAAACAAACAACCCTTTGCTTTTGTTTATCTTATGGAACTTCCATTCGGCATTACTTAAATTTTGCTCTCAAGCCCCATCATTATAGCAAGCGTTAGTTCATTTGCCTTTGTTATATGTACAACCAGACATAAACAGAAAAAAAATTGTGGTAGCATATTTATAACACAAGTCTAGAAAAAATGTATGTTCGTGACTTGCGCAGACCGCGCGTAACAGCCCGAATTTATTTATTTCTCGTGTGCCGTTTTCAATTCGTATTATGTTAGGTGTTAGGTTAGGTTTGCGGTTTGCCTTTACCCGTTTGCCTGGCTTCGTTGTTCTTCATCGTTACCAGGGAGAATAGTCTCCATGATCGTTACTTTGATGCTATTTTATGTGATAATTTATAGTGTGTGCAGTTGTGGTTATTGTAAGGTGCATATAAAATAATGAATATTGATGCAAAATGTTTAAAACGATATGTGTAGAGATTTCGAATTTTGCGTCACATCTACCTAAACATAGTTATTATACCCACTACCTAATACCTATTAAAGACAAGAGGACAAAAACTAAAAAAAATGGAACATGGAACTATACGTTTCGGAGAGCTATTTGAAATACGGAAGAATCAAGTGATATATATGTCATTTATTTTATATTTTGTACAAATGTTTATATTTGTGTACGTGTATGTGAATGCTTAAATAAAAGAGTTTAAGTATACCTACAAATATTTATTTTTTCAAGACATCCTTTTGTATCTTATTTATTTCTACTGTAAAATTTATTATAAAAAGGTTAGATGTAATATTGACTATGCGTAGAAGAAATTGTAACTTCTTTATATTATTTTGCAGTAATGTTATTTGTTTTTCATGTACCTACCATTTCAAGATTCATTATCATAACTAATTTTTTTAATTATCATTTCGTCATTGTTACCATATTCATGATGGTCTCAACATTAGAAAATTTCCATTTCAGAAGCGTATTTGAACAATATAAAATGATGTGTAGCTTTTTTAAAATGCTTCTGATATTGTTTTGTGACATTTTTATTTGTACGATGAATGGCAG